CATGTAAACTAAATAACACCCTGCTTAAGAATCACTGGGTAACAGAAGAAATCAAAGATGGAATCAAAAACTTCCTAGAATCAAAGGAGAATGAAAACTTATCGTACCAAAACCTTTGGGACACAGCAAAGGCAGTGATCAGAGGTCAATTAAATGCACACATCAAAAAAGAAGGGACAGAATCAACACATTAGCTACACAACTTCAACAAATAGAAAGAGAACAACAAAAGAAGCCTACAGCCACCAGAAGAAAGGAAATGATAAAGATCAGAGCAGAAATAAATGAAATAAAGAATAGATAAACAATAGAAACAACAAAACCAAAGTTGGTTCCTTGAAAGGATCAACAAAATCGACAAACCACTGGCCAAAATGACAGAAGAAAAACAGGAGAGGATGCAACTAACCCAAATAAGAAATGAAATGGGGGACATTACGATAGACCCAACTGAAATAAAAAGGATCATAACACAGAACTATGAAAATCTATACTCCAAAAATTTGAAAATCTAGAGGAAATGGACAAATTTCTAGAAACACACTACCTACCCAAACTATCACAAAATAATGTTGAAAATCTGAACAGACCCATAACAAGAGAAGAGATTGAAAATGTAGTAAAAAAAAACCTCCCAATGAAAAAAAGCCCTGGCCCAGATGGCTTCACTGGAGAATTCTACCAAACATTCAGAAAAAAGCTTACACCAGTACTACTCAAATTATTTCAGAACACAGAAAAGAAACGGATACTTCCAAGTTCATTCTACGAAACCAGCATAACCCTGATACCAAAACCAGGCAAAGACACCACAAAAAAAGAAAATTACAGACCAATATCTCTCATGAATACTGATGCAAAAATTCTCAACAAAATTCTAGCCAATACAATTCAAAATCATATCAAAAAATAATACACCACAACCAGGCAAGATTCATACCAGGTATGCAAGGATGGTTCCACATTAGAAAATGAATCAACATGATCAACTACATAAATAAAATAATCACATGATTATCTCAGTCGATGCAGAAAAAGCATTCAACAAAGTCCAACACCCATTCCTGATAAAGACTCTCAATAAAATAGGTACAGAAGGGAAATTCCTCAACATAATAAAGGGCATTGATGCAAAACCAACAGCCAACATCATTCTAAAGGAATGAAGCTGAAAACCCTTCCCTTGAGAACAGGAACGAGGCAAGGATGTCCTTTATCATCACTCATATTTCACATGGTGCTGGAAGTCTCAACTAGAGCAATAAGGCAAGAAAAAGAAATAAAGAGCATCCAAGTTGGTAATGAAGAAGTAAAACTGTCCCTATTTGCAGATGATATGATACTACATATGGAAAACCCAAAACACTCGACAAGAAAACTACTGGAACTAGTAGAATGATTCAGCAGAGTAGCAGGATACACGATAAACATACAAAAATCAGTTGGCTTCCTATATGCCAACAAAGAGAACAACAAAAAGGAAATCAGGAAAGCAATACCATTTATAATAGCCCCTAAAAAAACAAAATACTTAGGAATAAATCTAAACAGGGATGTAAAAGATCTATACAAAGAAAACTACAAAACACTACTGCAAGAAACCCAAAGGGACCTATATAAATGGAAAAACAGAACATGCTCATGGATAAGTAGACTCAACATTGTGAAAATGACAATCCTACCCAAAGCAGTCACAAATACAATGCAATCCTGATCCAAATACCAACAACACTCTTTAAAGAGATGGAAAAAATAATCATTAACTTTATATAAAAAGGGAAGAGGCTCCAGGTAAGTAAAACATTATTGAAGAGGAAGAATAAAGTAGGCGTACTTACACTACCTGACCTTAGAACCTACTGCCCAGCTACTGTAGTCAAAACAGCCTGGTACAGGTACAACAGATACACTGACCAATGGAACAGAATCCAGAATCCAGAAGTAAATCCATCCACCTACAGTGACCTGATATTCCACAAGGGCCCAAAGTTCATCAAATGAGGAACAGACAGTCTTTTTAACAAACGATGCTGCCAAAACTGGATGTCCATCTGCAAAAAAATGAAACAGGACCCATACCTCACACCATACACAAAAAATAATTGAAAATAGATCAAAGACATAAATCTAAAACCAAAAACTATAAAGATCATAGAAGAAAAAACAAGCTCAACGCTACAGACCCTAATACACGGCATTAACGGGACACAAACCATATAACTAACAACACACAAACTCCAGAAAATAAGCTAGATAACTGGGATCTTCTAAAAATTAAACATTTATGCTCATCAAAAGACTTTACCAAAAGAGTAAAAAGAGAACCTACAGGCTGGGAAAAAAATTTTGGCTATTACAAATCCAACAAAGGTCTAATCTCTAAAATCTAAAAGAAAATCCAATACCTCTACCACAAAAAGACAAATAATCCAATTAAAAAATGGGCAAAGGAAATGAACAGGTACTTCACCAAAGATGACATTCAAGCAGCTAACAGACACATGAGGAAGTGCTCTCGATCACCAGCCATTGGGGAAATGCAAATCAAAACCACAATGAGATACCATCTCACCCCAGCATTACTGGCACGAATCAAAACAAAACAGAAAATAACACGTTGGAGAGGCTGCAGGGAGATTGGAAGTCTTATGCACTGCTGGTAGGAATGGAATGCAAAAATGGTACAGCCATTTTGGAAAATGATATGGCGCTTCCTTAGAAAGCTAGAAATAGAAATACCATATGATCCAGCAATCCAACTCCTAGGCATATATCCTAGAGAAATAAGAGCTGTCACACGAATAGACGTATGCACACTCATGTTCACTGCAGCATTTCTCACAATAGTAAAAAGATGGAAACAACCTAGATGCTCATGAACAGGTGAACTGAAAAACAACCTATCGTACATACACACTATGTAATACTACACAATGACGAAGAACAATGATGAATCTGCGAAGCATCTCACAACATGGATGAAACTGGAGGGCATTATGTTCAGTGAAATAAGTCAATCACAAAAGGACAAATATTGTATGAGACCACCACTATAAAAACTCATGAAAAGGTTTACACACAAAAGGAAACAATTTTTGATGGTTACAAGGAAGAGGAGGGGTGGGGGTGGAAAAAGACTAAATAGACAATAGGTAAGTGGTAACTATGGTGAAGGGCGAGACAGTACACAGTACTGGGAAAGCCAGCACAACTTGTTCTGGGTAAGGTCATGGAAGCTCCATGGACAAATCCAAACTCCCTTAGGGACTCAATTGCTCAGCTGAGGGCTGTGGGGACCATGGTATCAGGGAACATCTAGCTCAACTGGCATAACACAGTTTATAAAGAAGATGTGAGTACTACTTTGGTGAGTAGCGTCTGAGGTCTTTAAAGCCTGTGAGTGCCCATTTAAGATACTCCACTGGTCTCACCCCTTCAGGAGCAAGGGAAAATGAAGAAAACTAAAGACACAAGGGAAAGATTAGTCCAAAGGACTAAAAGACCACAACTACTATGGTCTCCACCAGACCGAGTCCAGTACAACTAGATGGTGCCTGGCTACCATCACTGACTGCTCTGACAGGGATCACAATAGAGGGTCCTGGACAGAGCAGGAGAAAAATGAGAACAAAATTCTAACTCGAAAGAAAAAGACCAGATTTACTGGCATGACAGACAGACACTGGAGAAATCCCAAGAGTATGGCCCCCGGACACCCTTTTAGCCCAGTAATGAAGTCACTCTGGAGGTTCACTTTTTAGCCAAAGATCAGACAGACCCATAGGACAAAATGAGACTAAAAGGGCACATCAACCCAGGGGCAAGGACTAGAAGGCAGGAGGGGATAGTAAAGCTGGTAATAGGGAACCCAAGGTCGAGAAGGGAGAGTACTGACATGTCATGGGGTTCTTAACCAACGCTATAAAACAATATATGTACTGTTTAATGAGATGCTAGTTTGTTCTGTAAACCTTCATGTAAAGTTCAAAAAAAAAAAAGAGAAAGCACATATGTTAAGACTATAAAAACAGTTTTTAATGTTTAAAGGAATTTAATTATTATGAGTTCCCTACAAACAAATGTTAAATTTGCTAGATTTAGACATTTAATAATAATATTTGCAAGCCAAAGTAAAGAGTTAAGAAAGAAGAAAAAAAAGAAGAGGGCAAATGTTCTAACTATTTTAGGATGAAGGTAGACAGGGAACAAAAACCATAAGCTATTTTTGCGCTACTCGAGCGCAGACTCACACTGAGCCTGGGTTCATGGAAGACCCCTGACAATTGTTCTTCCAGGTAGTAGAGGCAGAACGTCCCACAACACAACTACCCCATGATGCTCCTCTGCTTCTGGAGCACACCATGCCAATTTTAGCGTGACATCACTGCTCAAGCTGCTCTCTGCAAGGCTGACACAGTCTTTCTTCTCTTCTCCAAGTCTGCCTACCCTTTCAGGTTCATTGAAAATTGCTACCTACTCCATGACATTTACTTTGACTGGACCCATCAAATTCACATAGATCTTTCTCCAGTCTGAATTATCTATAAAGAGGTCCTATCTGTATATTCCTATTTGGCCCACAAATACTCTGTTGGTACTGTCCTAAAATTGCTTCACTTACATGAGAAACAAACGTCGTCCAGCTCTCTTGCTTTGGACACGTCATCGGGCGGGCGTTGTGTTTGGTGAAACAGAGGGCCAGCGAGGACAAGGGAGACCCTTGGTGAGATGGACTGACAGAACAGCCACTCCCATGGACTCAAACACACTGGTGGGTGGGAGAATGATGCAGGAACGGGTATGTTTCATTCTGCTGCTCATGGGGTAGCCGTGAGCCAGAGTCGACTCAACAGCAGCCAACAACACGCATGAAACAGGAAGTTCAACAATGAAAACTTAATCACGCATAAGACAAACTCCTTCCCTAACACACTGGATGGTACTGAGAGGATGTTTAATAAATAGTGATTCAACAGAATTTGTATGACCAGGAGTCTCACCGTCTCAAATTCTCGGTCCTTAATTTCTGTGAAAGCTTCTGCGATGAAATCATCTTCAAACCACTGATGTACAAAGCCATCCCTTTGGTGTTTAGTCACGAGTCTACATAATGTTTCACAAACAGCAGCCTGCTGGTCATAATCTAGAGATTAAAAACGGGGCAGATGTGGATAATTCTGGGCACGAAGAGAAAGAAAAGGAAGGAGCTCCACAGATGAGCACTACTCTAAGAAATCCACCTTAGAGCACTAGTAATATGTCTTATAGTTACAAGCAACAAGCTGTATCCTGCACTGGTTCCAAACATTTCAATTCAATGTTTAAGTGACAACAGGAGAAAAATCTGAATGATATGTCTGCATTTAACACTGTTTCAAACAATAAATGTTTCTGGGTTTGATATTATAGGTACAGTAGAACATTTATCAAAAGTAGCTTGTCAAACAGCTAGAAAAATAAAAATAGAAAGATTTCTACTACAAAAATGAAATCCCAAGATAAACTATGCTATTTTGCTGCAGACAAACTAAAATTCCACATACCAACAAGTTTAAATCTCAAGGAAGTGTAAGGGTAAAAAAAAAAAAAGCAAGTTGCAGCAGGATATGTACAATAGGATAGCATTTATATAATTTTTTTTAATTTGCACAACAATAATGTTTTACACTTATTACATAGAGTAAAAGTAGAAGATGTGCTTGAGAATGGAAAAGCCCTCAAGCTAAGGATCATTCTACCAATGGAGGGTGAGAACGAGATCAGTGACATGGACACTGAGGACGTTATTTGTAACTCTATTTTATTTAAAAAAAAAAAAAAAAGATTTGAAGCAATTATTGGAAAAAGCTAAATTTTTACAAAGCTGGCTGGTGAGTAAATGGAATATTCGTTACTCTTTATAGTTTTCAGCACACAAAAATCTCTCCTCTTAAGCTAAAAATAAAATCCTAGTTCCTATTTTTAATTTGACCACAAATGTATTCCCCATAATTCCAAGATGCTCATAACACCCTCCATGTCCAAGACTTATTATTCTAAAATTTAAAATTCTGAACACATCTTACCACCAACAGTCACAATTGTCCTTGCAAGGTCTTTCCTGAAACATTTAGATAAACGACATTTTACTGAAATGAACATGAACAGGCAAAACTTTATTATATTGGCACTAAATCTGAAAACCAAGATGTACATTTTAACATTTTTATTTGTTTCAAATTCAGCAGCAAACACAGATCAGAATTTCCTCATATGTCAACATTACACTTTTATGGAAATCTTTAAGTTTATATATTAATGACCCATATGTACATTTTTTTTTTCAGGTCCCTGGGTGGTGCAAATGGTTAAGCTCTGGGCTACTAACCTAAAGGTTGGCAGTTTGAACCCACCCAGCAGCACTGTGGAAGAAAGGCCTGGCAATCTGCTTCCATAAAGATCACAGCCAAGAAAACTCTATGGAGTCGCCATGAGTCAGAATCAATTTGACAGTAACAGGCTTCTTTTACGTATTTTTTTTTTAAGAAGATAGAGCTACTGTACACTCTGAGGTTCTACGTCTTCTTCTGTAAAGTAAATCCAATTTGATGGTCTCTGAAAGATTCATCAAATGCTAAGATTTCTGGAGTTTTCTAATCACCTCCCCAGCCTGTGAAGAGTATGTCCTTGTTACTAAGTCTGATGCCTGGAGGAAATGTAGTTACCTTAACAGCTGATAGAAAGTCTAGGATGTTCTGGACTTTGAGTCAAAGGCAAAACTGTGCGTTTTTTCTATGAGCTGTTTCATCTGACTAAATAATACTCATAAACCTTAGAGATGTAATGGGATTGAGTTATTATGTTACTGTAACTAACACAGACTCCCATATTGTACATTCTTCAAGAACTTCATTTCAATACTAACAAGTGTGATAGTGATTAAAGTCTGAAATAATCAACTTCTATGTTAAAGAGTATTTATAAAGAACTGTTGTGATACTTCAGTTTCTTGTAATAAATCAATTGCACTATTACCATTAAACAGAAGCCTTAAAACAGTACCACTGACATTTCTACTTAATTTTATGCTTACAGTTTTACCTTTGACTTAAAGTTCAGAACATCCCAGACTTTCTAGAACCCACGGACAATATAGTAGGACGATCACAGCATTCACTTGAAAACTTCAGAGAAAACATGAGGTCGGCGGCTCCCCAAATCTTAATACTCCACTAAGAGTAAGGAGTTCACTAATATATTCAATAAACACTTTTAAAGGAAAAATTCAGTGGAAAAACTACATCCTACAAAAACTAATGAAATGGACAAATACCACAGCAATGAGCTCCTCACCAACCACCTCGTTCGGGCCCTACACACGGTGGTAAACTGGGTAGTCCTTCCTCTCACAAGTCAAGGCTGTGTGTCACATTACAGATGGTGTGCTTACAGCAGTGTCCTCGAGCCTGCTGACCTGGTTAGCACACAGCCACACGCTTGTATGTAATTTCAAAACAGGATGCTGGGCCGCTGGGAAAAACAGTGTGGCAGTTCCTCAGAAAGTTAACACAGATTTAGTATGTGACCTAACAATTCCACTCCTAGGTATATACCCTAAAGAAATGAAGCAAGGATTCAAACAGACACTTGTACACTAATGGTCACTGCATCATTATTCACGATAGCCAAAAGACAGAAGTGACCCAAGTGTCCATCAACAAATGAATGGACAAACAAAATGCAGTGTATCCATACAAGGGGATATTATTCAGCCATAAAGAAAAATGAAGTTCTGATCCATGTTATGCCATGGATGAACTTTGAAAACATTATGCCTAGTGAAATAAGGCAGACACAAAAGGACAAACATTGTCGGATCCCACTTATATGAAATATCTAGAATAGGTAAATAGATAGAGACAAAAGTCTATTAGTGGTTACCAGGGGCTGGGGAGAGGGAGGAATGGGGAGTTCCTGCTGATGGGGTACTGAGTTTCTATTTGGGGCAATGACAACATTTTAGAAATAAACTGTGGTGATCGTTGCACAGCATTGTAAATGTAATTAATACCACTGAACTATACACTTAAAAATGGTTAAAATGGCAAGTTTTATGTTACCCTCTCCTCACTTATCGACACGGTTAGGTTCCAAAGACCAGGTTGTTACACAAAATCGGCATGATGCAAAAATGGAGGATGACCACATCCGATTACAAAATGGCGGATGACTACATCATTACGTAACTGCCAAACCATTGAGAATCATGGCCCAGCCAAGATGACACATAACCTTGACCATCAAAGCCAGGATTACTCTCACCTCACACCTCAGCATTTTGTTACTGCCCAAGGCATACTGTTGATGCACAAAATAGTCAGAGAGTAAATTTTTTACAATTGTCATAAATGCAAAATATTCAATAACAAGATAGTTGGTTAACTGAGGAGAAGGTATATATATTTAACTATATGGAGCCCTGGTGGTGGAATCCTTAAGTGCTCAGCTGCTAACAGAAAGGTTGGCAGTTCGAACCCACCCAGTTGTTCTGGAGGAGAAAGACCTGGTGATTTGTTTCTGTAAAGATTATAGCCAGGGAAACCCTATGGGGCAGTTCTACTCTGTTACATGGGGTTGCTATGAGTCAGAATCGACTCGCCAGCACTCAACAACAACATATTTAACTATAATCAAACAAACAGGATGCTAGTTTTGCGCTTCCTGTGGTTGCACATTACAGCCTTACACCAAATTTCATGTCCCAAGAACTTTGTAACTGTGGGTGGGTCACCAAAGAAAAAAACATTCATTACTTGAAAAATAACACAAATTCCACATCCTATTGGTATATCAAATAGCTGGTAACCTTTGAGTATTTACTCTCTACAAGGTAAGGTGCTAATCACTTTAAATGATTGCCTTGTTTAACCTTTACAATAACTGTTAAGTAGGTATTATTGTTGATTCCATTTTACAGGTGAGCAAACTGGGGTGCAGTGAGGCTAATGATGTGCCTTCCTCTAGATTACATAATTAGCAAGTAGCTAAGCCAGCTTTTGAACCCAAGCAGTGTGGCTCAAGGATCCGACTCTTTCCTTTCTACCACGAATCACTAATTTATTTCACATTCATAATGAAAAAGTTACCTATAGCCTCAGAAAATATTTCTCCTCATAAATTTAATGCAAAAACCTATACTATTGAAAAAGAGTTTGGCAATCTACTGGCATTTGTTGAAGGAAGTAAAGAAGCAATGAGGTCTAAAGAGAACAATGATAAAAGTATTATCAGTCATGAGAGGTTCTGCCCTGCTACATCACATAGTTGAGTACAAGGTCACTTACATAAAAAGGTGCGTGCCTTCTAGCAAAGCGAGTTTTTTTCTCTCTTCCCGAGGCACAGCCTCCAAAATGCAGTTCAAGGTCCTCAAAGCCTTTTCAGAGGACAAGAAGGCATTTATGGTGAGGAGACAAAACAAAGACCTACGTACAACTTTCTCTGAATTTTTAGAGCAACAGTTACCATTTTATTGTTTGCAACTCACCTCCTGTCCAATCAAACGATTTAGAGTCTCTTCTGTCACCAGGGATCCTAGACTAAATATGAAGGAATCCAGCATCTGAATTTTCCCTGAAAGCACAATTTTATATTATTAAAATTTATGCTAAAAAGAATAAGAAGATGATCCCTATGCAGCAGAAAGAGGCAAAGACCAAAAGAGTCAGGGAACAGTAAATTTTTCAGAAATTATCATCTGGGCAAGGGACAAATGACAGCCTGATTCAATTTACAGAACTGCTCCCCCAACCATGATATACCTGCATTACACCGCTACCCACTAAAGAGAATAACAGCAGTATGTACAAAGTGGGACTATGCCTTGAGATTATCTTATCCCAAGCAAAGCTCCTTTTTTGTCTGAAGTAAGCAGTGTTCAAAAGGCATTTCCTACCCAGTTTCCTGTTGTTTCCACGTGTTTGTGTATTTTGAAAAAATAAAAATTTTATACAGTCTTGGACGAACAGAAGCAGAAATTGTTTTATAAAGCGTTAGCCTTTATTAAACAGCATAATCACAGAAACTTCAACTGCTAGTTACATTTGTAAGTACATAGTAAAGAATAGGGTTATGTGGTAACATTTTATGTTTGTTAAATAACAAATGTCTTATGGTTGCGTCTATGCATGTTATATTAAGATATGAAATGACAATGGTAGTGTCACTGCAGATGTATCATTTTTTAAATGTGAATTATTTAATACAGACTGTGTGAGCATAGGAGCCCTCGTGGTGCAGTGGTTAAGAGCTCAGCTGCTAACCAAAAGGCTGGCAGTTCGAATCCACCAGCCATTGCCTGAGTACCCTATGGGGCAGTTCTACTCTGTCCTATAGGGTTCCCATGAGTCGGAATCAACTCTATGACAGCAGGTTTGGTTTTGGGTTTCGGTGTGAGCATAAGCTTCTAGTACTGAATTTTCTCAATATAAGATGCCATCCATTGTAGGATATAGTATCAACTTAAAGTAACAGCTTTTCAAAAGAAAACAAAAAAAAAAATGTACCCATTATGAAAGACAATCTATTTTAAGATGATCTCAAGTTCTGAAATGTTCAAATATTTTAAGTGCCTCTTTGAATCTATGATACAATTCAAAATGTCAAATTACCTTTAACTTCAGCTACATTGAGCAAAATCATCAACCTCTAAAATTTTACCTTTTCCACTCGTGAATGACAGAGAAAGGCGTTTCAGTCAGCTCCAAGTTAAATCAGTAACAGTTAAACTTGCTGGTTTGGAAGGACAAAACCTCTCTCCATACCTGGATCCAACTAAATAGCCAAATGGTGACAGGGGCAGCTACATAAAAATCTACCTCAGGCAAACCAAGACATTTTTTAAGACAAAATTCATTCGACTTCACAATATGACTGTCATAAGACGGTCAATAAATCCAAATACCATCGTTTCTAAATCCACTTTACTTTTACACATCATTTAGATATTCTGTTCTCTGTACCAGAATATTCTATTAATGAACAATTACAAGTAGCCAAATAATACACTTACCTTTACTACTCCTCCTGGAAATAATCTAATAAAAAGAAAGAAAAAGTAAAGCTTATAGTATAGAAGTAGCATTCTAAACAGTAACATTAATGCATTAATGCTGACATTTCTCTAATAGGCAGAAAACTTTACATACAGAAGATAGTCTATTTGAGCTTCAGTTTATTAAAATCAGCATTTATCATCCTCAATCTGATAAATATTTGTATGTATGAAAATGAATTGCCTCACTTTTCTAGAACATTGGTTATACTGGTTACATACATGTGTACGTCCGCCACTACCGAGTCGATTCCAACTCATAGTGACCCTGTAGGACAGAGCAGACCTGCCCCATAGGGTTCCCAAGGCTGTAATCTTTACAGAAGCAGACTGCCACATCTTCCTCCCACGGAGCAGCTGGTGGGTTCGAACCACCAACCTTTTGGTTCAGAGCCAAGCACTTTAACCACTACACCACCAGGGCTCCCTTTTATACGTGTATATAGCTACCTATTTATCTATCTACATATATAATTAACCTTTGTTTCCATTTCACATAATATTCTAATAATAAAATGTGGGAGTTTTCCAGCAAAGAAACTAAGTTTTAGAATAACTTGAAGATACCATCACTAGTATCTGCTCAGTGAAGCGTCCACTCCATCCTTACCAACGCAGTGTCAAAGAAGTCTTCCATGGTAGTGATCAGGGATATGTCTGAGGCTAAGTCTTCCTTGGTCAGAACTCCTACTGTTCTTTCAAGCCAGGAAACCATGTACACAGGAGAAGAAACAGAGATGAAACCACAGATGCCTGAGTAACTATTGTCCACTGAATAGAATGTCACAACGTAACTCCTCAGGAAAGCAGCATAATTTTAAAGCCCCCTTTTCCATTCCATACCATTTCCTTTAGACCTGGCTCTGTGGCCTCCTGCTTAGGGCACTGCAGGATGGAGTCATACTGTTACAAGTTGAAATGAGTACGTTCTCAGACATTAGCAAGAATTGAGAGACTTGACCAGGACCAAGGCGGCAAAGTCCATATAAGGGGTTGGCGGGTAACGTTTGGAGTCCCTCGGTGGTGCAAACAATTAATGTGCTCAGCTGCTAACTGAAAGGCTGGAGGTTCCAGTCCACCCAGAGGCACTGTGGAAGAAAGGCCTGGGGGGTCTACTGCCAAAAAATCACCCACAGAAAACCCTAGGGAGCACACTTCTACTCTAATACACGTGGGGTCACCATTAGTTGGAATTGACATAACAGCAACTGGTGGTGGTGGTAGGTAAGGTTTAATGTAATGAGCCTCCCCATTCCAGGAAAAATTCTTGTAATCTGGAAAGCAGTAGAAAACAAACTAGCAAAAGATGGCTGGTTATAGTATATATGTCTCAGGCCTGACTACCCCTTTTTTTTTCTTAGCAAAAGCTTCCAGCTAATTGTAGAATTTTTTTTCCTCTAAGAACATATATCCAATTTCATATTAAGCTGCTATGACTGGGTATGATTTAGAATAAACTTCTATAAACCTTCCTAAAAAGACAAACAAACCTGTTGAAGTTGTCGATTCTAACTCATAGCGAACCTACAGGACAGAGCAGAACTGCCCCATAGGGTTTCCAAGGAGCACCTGGTGGATTCAGACTGCTGACCTTTTGGTTAGCAGCCGAGCTCTTAACCACTGCACCACCAGGGCTCCATAAACCCTCCTAGAACATATTTATGCAATCAACCAACGCCATGTTTGACGATTTTTGCTGAGACGGGTCACTCTTAGACAAAAAGAAAGAAATCTTGCATGTGTAGGCTTTTTAAGGGAGGGGCTGTGTCTGACTCATTCCTGTGCAGCCCAGTGTCCCGCCCAGCACATACATCAGGAAACACGTGTTGAACTTCATTTTTTACTTGATCTAGGCGTAAGCATCCAGTACCAATTTCTTTTCTAATTTAATTGCAAAGGAACAGACAATACCAAACTTAACTAGACAACTGAATCCACTTTAGTTAAGTTACCCAAAGCCATACAAAATCAAAATGGGACACTTATCTTTGGAATCAGTCCCTGCTGAATGAGCAAAGGCTCATCTTCTTTGAGGCCATCTAGGAAGAACTGCTGAATGCATTTCAGCAACAGTGAAACATGCTGAAATTCACCGTCATCCAGTTCCTAGGTATTAAGCCACACGAAATTAAAATCCTTACAAATGATTACATGCTGATATTGGTATTCTGGTCACATAACAAAACAATGTACTTACCTTGTTGATTGATCTGTCAAGCTGGTTCAGTAGAAGATGATTATATTTTTGAGGAACACGGCTCTCTCTCTGTTGAAAATAATCTTTTATTTTCTGATATCCTTTCCCAACGGATATGTCACTAATGAGTGACTGAAGCTGGAAAGTTGATAGTTTTGCAAGTTACCTTTTTTCCCCAAGAACATTTATTTCATAGCAATATTTCCAACTAATTATCACTATCAATAATAATTCTGTGTGGCAATAATACACAGCAAATATAAAAGCCTACTGTATCTTGAACTACAAAACGATCATTTACCAAATGACTGAAGTTTCTATTGGCTTAAGCAGTAGTTGTCAAAATGTGGTTCCTGGACCACCAACAGGAGCCCTGGTGGCACAGCAGTTAAGAGCTCAGCTGCTGACCGAAAGATCAACGGTTTTAAACCCACCAGCGGCTCTGTGGGAAAAAGGTGTGGTAGTCTGCTTCTGGAAAGATTTACAGCCTTGGAAACCTTAATGCGGGAGTTCTACTCTGTCCTATAGGGTCACTAAGAGCCGGAAATGAATTTGATGGTAATGGTTTTTTGGTTTTGGAGCACCAGCAACATCAGCTTCACCTGGGAACTTGTTCGGAATTAGAAACTCTGGGGTTGGGCCTTGCAGGTGATTCTGATGTATGCCCCTAACTTAAGGAAGGAAACCCCGGTGGCGTAGTGATTAAGAGTTCGGCTTCTGACCAAAAGGTCAGCAGTTGGAATCCACCAGGTGTTCCTTGGAACCCTAGGGGGCAGTTCTACTCTGTCCTATAGGGCCACTATGAGTTGGAATTGACTCAAAGACAACGGGTTTGGCTTTTGGTTTTGGTAACTTAAGGACAACTAAACGTTTTAACTATATGTATCACTAGGTAAAAAAAACTTTATCCTCAGTAACATTAGAAATTCTAAAGCACCAAAAAATTCAAACAGATTATCATTCACTAAGTGACATAAATAATTATAACGGAAGAAAGAAAATGAATTCAGAACTAATAATTACAGATGACAGAAATGGATAAAACATAGGCAAATTAGATCATAATGAATGATCTTTTCTGCCTGAACATTAGCCAAAACATACTTCTAAGTATATATACTCGACTAACGGACACTTCCTTTAAATACCTGTATTAGAAAATGATTTTTTTGATTAAAAAAAAAAAAACTGTCCAATTCTACAGGCCAAATTACAATACACAATATATGTTAGTAAGAAGCCATTCCACTGATTTTCAGTACTGATTTATATGGGAAACAACATTTGAAATTATTCCATTTAAGCAGAATATTTTCTTTCTTTAAGCTTCCACATAGGGACCTTTTGTACGTGTTAAGTGTTCTACAAATGTTTTCACTCAATCCTCACCAGCACCCTGAGAGGTTAGAGTCTTTATCTGGGGATAATAACACCAAGGCTGAGAAAAGTTAAGGATGAGCATGGGATCACCCAGCTGGGATTGATACCCAGATGATTCGACAGAAAACTCCTGCTTCACCTGCTTAAAACTCTGCCAGGGCTTCCCACTGTCCTCGGAATAAACCTAAACTCTTTGCCTTGGTCTGCTAGGCTCTGCATCATCTCTCTCTGGCAACTTCTTCAGCTTGACTTCCTCACTAAAGAGCCCTAGAATAAGTCAAGCACTTCCTTGCCCCAGGGCCTTTGCACTGGCTTTTCTATGCCTCCTCTGCTTCCCCCAGCTTTTTCCCCAGGGGTTGGCTTCTTGTCATCTTTCAGATCTTCAGCTTATGGAACACCTTTTCAGGTAAGCCTTCCAAGACCACCTTATCTAAAGTAGGCCAAGTGCTTACCATCACCCCCCAATTAATCTCTATCACAATACCCTGTTCTTTCTGTTCCTACTACTTTACTTGGTTAACCTGTTTCTTTGCCTCTTGCTCTACCAGACTATAAATTCTATGAGGGCAGGAAATCTTATCTGTTGTGTTCAGTACTGTCTACCTACACCTAGAATAATGCCTGGCACAACATAGCTTAGACTAGGATGTTGGTAAGACATTTGAAGTTAAAATGGAAACGAAATTGGATGTGGGAGCTGAGGGAAAGAGAAGAAGCCAAGAAGATAGCTTCTGGCTTGAGCAGTGGAGGAACAACTGTGTGTTGGCTACCCAGCGAACACAGGGTTACCCCAGGCTGAAGGTCAATGTGATGTGTTGAGCTTACATGTCACACACCTAAAGCTGGAGAAGTCACGGTAATTAATCAAGAATTTAAATTTTATCGTTGGTGGGGGTCACAACCATCATGTTCTCTCTCAGCACTTTAGGGTAGAAAAAGAAAAATGCTAGTAAATCCAAGATACATTAAAAAGGCAAGTTAAAACATCCTTTGAAAGAACACACACGCACACACAAAGAACACAAACTTGATTTTTACCCAGAAAGGTTCCTGGGCCGTCCCACTCTTATTTTTCTTAACCGACAGCAAAGGACCTTTTTTCTGCGTACAAGAAAAATAAAGTCTTTTTAAACATCATTTAAAAATGCATTTCCAATTTTAAAAATAAAACAAAGGTTTACTTTTTTTTTTCATGAACAAAGACTTTTTGTTTCCCCTGTCATTGATTATAGGTGTAAGTGAAAATACTACTTTTTTTTTTAACCTTTATCCAACCTTCTTTAACACTATCTGACAAATACTATACAAACTATCACAAAAAGCAAATACCGTTTGAATAAACAGTCACACAAAAGATAAACTCTACAGGAATGACTAAAAATAGGAAGAAAAGGTTTTGCATGTATAAACTTCAGAATTGGAGCTTGTAAAATAAAGTTGAATAAAAAGTCTTTCAAGCCCAATCAAGAGTTTAAGCTTTATGTTTCTAACTTACATAAATTGTAAATGGGACTCTAAAACTTCTATACTGAAATTCAACAGACCAAAGACCAACAAAAACTACAAGAACAGCCACAAGATAAGCGTCCACAGGGTCTACCATCCTAGTTTTCATAATACCTGATCCCCATTAAATAACGGCATCTCATCTGCTCACTTCACCCCAACAATTAATTGAAAAGTAAATACACAAAAAATATATTTTAAAAAATCTCCCCTAAAGAGTTTTTTTTTTTTTTTTTTTTTACCCCAATCTAGTCTGGGCTAACAGTTCTATATGAATTTGACCAAAATTCTTAAATGTCAGCGAATTTTACAATATTATTTATAAACATGAAAAATAGGGTGCATTTAAAGATCCAGATTTTTTTTTTTTTTTCGCTAGCAAAGTATTCAGTTAAATGAATGATGAAAAGTAGGGGCCATGGCTGAACTCAGCCCCCGGTCCCGGGCGCTTAGGCGTTAATTTGCGACCCTGGCAGAGGAAACCCCCGCACTTAACGACCACAGGAGTCGTCCCTGGGTGGCACAAAGGGTTAAGGTCTCTCGACTACTAGCCCAAAAGGTTGGCGATTGGAACCCACCCTGAGGCACCTCAGAAGACAGGCCTGCCGATCTGCTTCTGAAAAGCCACCGCCTTGAAAACCCTATGGAAGCAGTTCCACTCTGCACGCTTGGGTCGCCGCGAGTCGGAATCCGCTCGCTGGCAACTAACAAGAGCACCACAGATGTGGGGGCCCGTTGGTTAACCTCGCCGCACTTTTTACTTACACAAGTGGGAAAGAGGGCTGGAAAAACAGCCGGAAAAACTTGAAAAGAACTATCTCACTGGCTCCAAAGTACCGTTCCCCTAGCGCTTTGTTTGTGAGGGACCGGAGGTTTCTACTCTGCCTCGTCGTCTCATTGAAAGCTGCCAATAAACCCCCAAGGTTGAAGCGCTCAAAAGGCCCCTAAGGGCTTGTCTCTTGGCGGCCGCGGACTGTACCCCGCGTCTGGTCCCTGGGCGAAGAGGCCCTGCGGCCAGCCAGGTCCGAAGGACCGGGCGCCCTCTCGCCCCCTCGGATGGCGGCAGAGAGTAGACGGGGGCTCCGCGGCCGCCCGGGCCCTCCCGGGGTCACTCACCGCCAGCATCCTGCTGCTCCCGGCCCGACGCTGCTCCGATGGGAGGGCCCCGCCACGCGCGCAGCTGCGGCTGCGCCGCGCTCCTGCGCCCTGCGGTTCCGCTGTCCGAGGCCCCGGCGGGTTGGAGGCACTGCGGCTCGGCCCCGGGCGCAGACCGCTCTCATTCATAAAGCCGCCCCTGAAAATCTACCAGAACCTTGTGTTCGAGTCTCCATAACCGCGAGTAACTGGCAACCATCGTCAGGCCAGCTGGGTGCACATCTCGTCTCCCCCACAACGCACACACCTTAAGAGGGAAAACGATTACTCCAAGGACGTAAAAAACGCCGTTTGAACTTTATATTCGAAATTCCAAACTAATAGGCGTCTCTTCTGTGGAAGCCCGATCTCCCGTTTTCTCTCCACCTTTAAACATCTTCAGCTTAGTTTTTGGTCCACTGATACGAGTGGACCAAAGCTGAACCAGCCCCCAAAAGTCGGAATCCTCTGGACGGGAAGGGTTTGTATTCCTGATATCACAAAAGAAGGGTGTGTTTTGTTTTGTTTTGTTTTTAAGTACCTTGGTTGTACTCAGCGGG